TTTGTGCAATCCACAAGCCCAAGATAGATTTCTCAATATCCTCCTTACATCTCAATAATATATTAGCTACTTGCTACCCCCTCTTAATTCCTGCAGATGTTTTACTTTCTTTTTTGTGAACAGGTGAGTGTGCACTACTTTCCCTATTGGTACATCTCGATATTTGCACTTGTCCATAATAATTATTAATTTCAAGTATAACTGTATCATTCGCATTAGTTTTGGATTCCATTTTTTAGTAGCTTGCCTGGGATATTTCCCAGGGTCTCGGGCTTTTCCACTTTTTAGTTCTTTTACTTCAACTGTTATTACTGGACAATTCATGAACTTATGATCTTGGTATTAGCATGAATTCCGGCCTGTCTTCTCGCAACAGTTTTACTGTTTTGAATACTCTTCTAATGTTTATTTGGAACACTTTGAACCTGAACTTGTCTCTCTGCTGGGTGATTTATATTTGATTATTTATTTATTTATTCAACTGGGATGGACCCTTTATAAAAATTAATTAATTTGGTTATAATGATACAAAAAATATTAGACAATAAAGCATTGAAATAAAATTAAGTGTGTCTTAATACATCAAGGTAAAAATAAAATATTTCATGGCGTCAAATAACAAATGAGACTTTTTCAAGCGCTTTAAGCGTATTGAGTTTAGGGACTCAAAGAAGTCTAAAACTGTTACAAAAATTGTTCGCACGTTTACAAGATTGTGTTGATAATTGTTGGTGGCGTTATTGGATCTACAAATTAGTGCTAAACTATATGTCCCATTTCTGTTCCGGCGATGGAATCTCCTTTGAGTACATAAAAAACAGGACAAGATTTCACTAGCAGTCAATATGAGTTGGTTAATGACATTGCACAAAAATAAGTTCATTATAGTCTTTCTGTAGGATAATGAAGGTATATCGACTATGGTACATGAATTCTTCTATTTCCTTGCATTTCCTTTCCTAGACTTGTTTTTCCTTCCTTATCAGATTTATTACTTCTTTTTTGGCTGGATAGTAATTGTATTGTCTGCATATGTACGGTAACATTTTTTTAAGGTAGATGTATCTTTACTTAAATTCATTGTTATTAAATTCTTCATGAATCCAATATTTGACTCTTTTATTTCTTCTCACGGCCGCTTCCCTAAGCCTTTCTTTTTGCAGCCTGGTGTAGGCTTTTTAAAGTGTTTGGACATTCAATATTTGTTGTTATGCACCCTTTGATTTTAATGTATCTAACCCATTTTGATTAAAGATAACGGTACTTTTATGTGCCAGTCATTCCAAGTTTGTACTTTGTTTCTTGTTCATTTTCTTCTTTCCTCAATCCTTAGGATCTTCTTACGATGCTCCGTGCAGGAATATAATTTTTTATTCATTCAGTTAGTGAATAGAACCATTCTGTCCTCTACTGTAGCCACGAAACATCCAACACATCACTGGTCTCTGTTCTCTGTGTTCTGTCCAAGTAACCTCTGCCTCATCTGTGTTGGAAGAGCCTTTTGCGATCATCATGTTTTGTTGTACACAGAAAAATCAATATTTCGCATTTGAGTTACAGGCATCCTGCCAAATTGCCAATTACTTTGAACCACATTGCTTTTCCCACCATTACTTTAAAACCCGAGAGCTCTTTATCTTCCCAGTCGCTGATCACTTCGTCTAGTTATGAATAAATTCTTCCAGGGATACTATTTTTTTCGTTATTTTGTTTGATGCATAGTCTCCAAGAATTGTCAGTTTAAAAATCTTAATTTCAAGATTTATTTTAATAATTATCTTGTTCAATTAGCTTCAATATTTCTTAGGTTATTTTTATATTTTTAATATACAAACTATGGATACACTTTACTTCCCTTTTGATCTTTATGCGGACACCACTCCAAATGTAGTAAGTATGGGCGATTGCCTCTGTCCTGACAGCCTTTCTTCTTAGTTTTGCCATGACTGATGTCCACATCATTTGCTCTTGTAATTCGGTTGGATTACCTGCCTGGCCTTTTGCCAAACCCTTGTTGATATTCCCAGTCCCTATGTTTGTGCGTGTTCTTATGCTTGTTAGGCTTTTAGCATTTGAAACTTTTTTCTAAGATAGATAATGGGGAAGCTGGGCCGTTGCTCTACCCCTGTTCGGATAACCAGGTTTACTTTCAGAGTTTTCCTTCTGCTTAGACGAGCTGTCTTCTAAGGACTAGTGAGTTGCGCATCTTTCCGAGTTTTAGGAGCATTGAAGACAACATAGAAAAGTGAAGCAGTAGAGTTGTAAGAAAGAAGAATCGTTATAGAAACAGCTTAGAAAGAGCATGAATTGACACCCTATGAGACCTATAGTTTTTGGGTCCAAAAAATACAGGCGACCAAGGAGGTCTTTAATAGAATAGATAAATGAATTACACACAAAGCAGACCTGTATTTACCTGGGAATATAAGACTGTTTTTTCCAAAAAATATCTCTGGTCAAAAATGCAGCGTCATCTTATATTTCACAGATTAGTCTAGTCGCGTAGAGTTTAAGTGTCATTCATGAAAATCTTACATGTTCATTTGACATAAAACTGCAATGATGTAAAAAATATGCTTGTAAACAATACATAACTTATATTCACGTTCGTATTCTTGGCATTCCACTCGAATTTGTCAGGCATTTCAGAGTGATATTTTTAATGGCCGGTAAACAGAAACTCTAACCTAATTGCAATACATCAATGAATGCAGAGAGAACTTTGTCTTATACAATGGGATTTTGACAAGGACGCTACAGAATGTTGGTTTGACGGCCGACGAAACGAATCCTGCGTTTGTGAACAGAAATATGAGGCCTCAAACAGGTGCGGGATAGCCAAATCTAGGCACAGAAGGACTGTATTACTGAAAAGACTATGAACAATGCAAAATTTAGTCTGCAATTTTTCAAGTGGGGCCCTTAAAAATCAGAAAATGTCAACAGCATGGAAGACTAAACGGACATGATGAGGTAGTGGACAAAAATCATGATTATGATGAGAGCGTCCAGAGGCTCCCAGAAACAGCCCGGCGCCGCGCCATAAGGCGTCCAGAGCAGCGAAAAGGTTAAGGAACAAGAAAATAAAAGTTCAGCAATAATTCTGTACATTCTCACCTACAAGACAATTTTCTAGCTAATAAGACATTTTGTAATTTTATTTTGACTAAATAATAAGAATTAGATAAAACATTTTTAAAAGTCACCGGGGGACGGCTTATATTCGTGTATATATGGTCGTTTAGCTGTGTCACGCTAGAAACAGGTACTACCTGGCAAGGAGGATTGCTGGTGGGGGCGAGGAGCGGTATTGGATACAGGTATAAGGCGTAATGTGGGAGTGTCAGGTCATGGAAAGGAACTGCAAGGTCAATATGAGACATCCCTTCGTCTGTCTTTCGCTGGAGTCTGTGCAGCTTGGGTGACCCTACCAGTAGTAATATTAATCGATTCTTCAACCAGTCAACACTTCTACTCTGTCATAGCCCTCAGCTTCATGGGAGCATGCAAACTTCCTCACCCGCACATTTAGTACTACTGTAAGGTGGTGTCTCATGGTGGATGAATAATCTTGTAAAGCGAAATGTGGCTATGGGTAAGAAACCTATTGAAACCAGGAAAGCAATGGTTTTGAGTTTAGTCAATGGAGAAAATGCTGTCTACATCAGGTATTCCCATTATCTAACTGAGAAACCTTCCAAATTTGTTAAATTTGTAGAAGTCTCATGGCTGTCCTCCATCTGTCAAAGAATGTGTTACCAGTTAAATATCCTAATGAAGAAGCAATAAAAGGAGCAAAATTGCAAGTTTTGCAGCACGTCTTGCAGTTTGTCCTAACAATTTATGCCTTTTTGTATAAGAAGTGATGGCACTGAGGAGGGGATTGAAGAAGCTATTAATGAGGACTTGTATGATATGTAAAATGTTATATAAGGGATTATTCTTTCAATTTTATAAGATATAATTCCCTTGAATATGAAACCTGTATTTAGAAGTTTTCATTTTCATTGTTTCTGATAACCAGATTTTGAACTTTTTTTATTGGCAAAGAGTTGCATTATTTGGTTTACACATTTGCACAAATTTCCTGATTTCTTCCATAAACACACTTAATACTAGGAATATTTCAACTAATATTTAGTAAGATATCCAATGCATTATCAAATTTAAGATCCTGATTAAAAATGGAACACATTGTCAATATTTTACAAAAAATCCAGAAATTCCTAGTTTTCATTAAAAGTTGTTCTGTGGCATGTGCCTTTATAGCACACGGAGCCACTCAATTTTGGGCAACGGCGTATGTGTGCCAGTTCACATCCTGCTGAAATGTATTGCCTCCCTGAGGCTGCAGGTTTTGTCTTTTCTTTTTTCACATTAGAACATGCACAGAAATGTCTTTTGTGACAGTTGGCCCTTTCTTAAAGAAATCCGTTGAAATAAATGTCTCAGACCTTTCAGTGTGCTAAAATTTTCTCTATTCTCTCAAATTATTATTTTGCAATGAATTAGTAGAATCCTTTTAAGTTATCTCAGGGGCATAATGCTCAGCAGCAATATCTTAGTTGATCTTAAGTACCCAAGAAATTAAATTATTTCAGTTACTGTATGCCTTGTGTGAAAAAATTCAATATTGTTGCTGGTTTGTATTGTGCTTTACAATGTGCACAACAGCTTGACACTTTTAAAGCAATGACAGTCTACTAGAAGCATATGTCTTCTCAAATGCTGGTAAAAATGTAATACACATGATTTCTAGAGTGGGAAATTCATATTTAAATTTGTTTGAATAAAACACTATGCCATAAATTTGTTTAAATAACACTATAAACTCATATGTATTCAACCAACAAATATAAATACTAAACACTAAAGTAAGTAAATAAAAAAATGGGTTGTTCTTATCTTTTAAGATGTCATGTCACATATATATACACACACATATATATTAAATACTTAAGGATAAGAAATTACAATTCAATCTTCATGTGTGTTCACAGGAGTTCAGAACGATTGCGGCGCTCCCGGTCACGTCGACGCACACCTGTACCAGGCGAATCGCGTAGCTCAACTCACGGTCATGCTCCAAACCGCCGTACCGGAGAGCATGAGGCATCCCCATACATGTATGAACGGTTCTCCTCTCCAAGTTTGTCTTTTGAGCTCTCACCTGTGTCATCTGGTGATCGACTACGCTCATTGAGCCGATCTCGTAGTCGAGAAATACGTCCTCCAACAAGGAGGGTTCGCCGCTCCTACACTCCCTCCTCAGAGTCTTCTTTGTCCCTATCGCCTGAGCCCTATCCTGACCATTTGCGTCCCCGCAAGCGAATTCCATTTGTTAAAGAACTGGAGAAGATGTTTGCTGGGAGACTGGATGAATATTTTACTCCTACGTATCGCAGTAACCAAGCAACTGGATATAATGTAAGTTACTTTTCAGCAGAGTAGGAGTGTCGAATGTAGCCTAAAAAGTGAATTCTTCCTTCTAATCTGTCTTGTGTATTTTTTGCTGCTAATTTAATTATTTCATAGTTTTTTGCAAGCTAGAGGACCAATAATTACATATAATTTCATGTGTGGAAGTAGAGAAAAATGTAGAAGACTTTTCCAGAAACAGTGGAAATCAGGTCTGATAGTTTTGTAATTGCCTTATATTTAATTATAATTGTATTTGTGTAGTAAATGATGGTTACCAAACTTTTCTTTTTATAAGTTGGTCAAATATTTTCTTTGTAGGATGTTTTTTCAATGTAGTTACTTCAATGTCATTCTCACTGATCTCTAAATGTATCTTCATAATGTTGAATGTTGTGATGTTAGAGTGGCTTTAGGGGTATAAATTGAAATCTTTTTGCTTTCTGACTTTGCTGGCAAGATGATAGGTTAATTTATCATGGCTATTTACATACTTTTCCTTTTATTTAATAATTTTTTAAAGAAACAGTAAAATTGAAAAAGTTGATTTAGAATAAGCTTTCTGGTTTTTCAAAAAAAAAAACAACGCAAAATTAGTTGAATTTCAATGTTATAAAACCTTTTTTACGAAATTAAAGCAAATAATGTGATTACATCCTTACATGCATGTCTAAATTATTTCATGGTCTATTATTAAAGGACAATGCTAGTTGTAAAATCTGTAATGAAAGATTATTCTTTAGAGCCCAAATGTTAATTTACTTTTTTTTTAATATAAGAAATGAATAAGCTTAATTACAACAGCAGATCCATTCTTCCAAACTTGAATTTATTATAAAGAATGATATGGTTAAATGAAATTTATCCTAAAACATTGATGTAAAATCCTAGAATTATACACCTAAGAAACAGCTCATGAATTACTATCAGGTACACAACAGGTATCAGGTATAATTTTTCACTAACTTTTGAAATTGATTCACCATTTAAATTGTTCTGTTCACTATCACATTCTTGCAGTGATCTCTAGTATAGTGGAACTTCAATGAATTGTTCTTGCATTGGTCATTTTCCCAGAATCTCCATTTTGATTTTTCAAGATTTGAATCATTATTTCAATCATTTTTTTCTTCTGTTTGCATTATTCCTAAATGGAATTGTGCCTTTGTGTACATGAATTATGGACTGTTTGTGCAGGAACAAGTTCAACTTTCTTAAATTTATTGTTAGAACATGTTAGTGATAGGGGTTTGATTGAATGCTTGATTTCAATCACTTTCTTGATGAGAGTTCTGTGAGAGATGATTGACATAATAGAAGTATTTTGGTTTCAATATGAGTAGCATAATTTTACAAAATTGTAAAATTATGCGAAATAGTCTGTGCTATGATGTAGCACCACTAGTGTTCTGTGAATAATGTAATGTAATGTAATGCAATATGAATAAAGTTATTGTGAATAATGCGTTTAAAAGTTTAATAAATTCAGGTATGACACAAAATATTCATTTCCACTTCAACAAAAAAAAAAAAATAATTTTTAATTTTCATTAAATGAAAAATGTGCAGATTTTAGACAGTGAACTGTGAAGGAAAAAGGAAAATAATATTTCTTTTTTTCTAATTAGTTACGCACTATGAAGAGGATATAGGAGAAGAGAAGTGAGCATTTAATTTTGTGGAAATGTAGTGAAATACTGCAGCAACAGCACTGAACAGATTGGAAAAATTCATTTTTCATTTCACGCCTATAAACATAAAATAATAATTCATTGCTTTGATATTAACCCATTAGTGCATCTAATTATTTTTTGTAAATATTTGTTGGTGTGGTGTTAACTATGTTAGTTTATTTTTCCAACATTTTTTGAGAAATTGGCTATCCTCTTTGAAGGATGTTAAGGACAGAGGGCGCGTGTGTTGCACCAGCACAGTGCTTGGGTGGCTTTTCCTTGCTTCGAATGAACAAGTTGAGTTGCAAGTGACAAAGTCAGGAAACCTTGCATCTTTTTAACAAGAGGGAGTCAGATGAGGTTTTTGTATACAAATAACATCCCAAGGCAAAAGATCCAAGATGAAATAGAATTATACATATCTTCTTCCTTCAGGGAAGGTGATATGTCATAAAACATGCAGGATAATGACCCACATTAGATTTTTTGCCAATAAATTTTTTTTTGCCCTTGCAGTTTTTGAAGGCATACTATGTCTTTTGTACTGGATGTTGGTCAGTCTGGCCAAAACATAAATCGGTTACTAGTTTTGAGTCAAACTGCTTGTGATTTTTGCCTTTTTTTCCCAGCAGTTCATGAGTTATGTTGAGGCATAAATGTAAGAGGTTAATATCATTGTTTGCCTTCTTTTTTCAGTCCAACAACCAATCATAGTACTGTAGACACATGCGAAAGGAAATAAAAATTGGCCACTCCCTCCCTCTTATTCGTGATATGTTGCTACATCTAATGCTTCCTGTGCCTTGATTGTTCAATTGAAATAAAATTAGCTTGTAAAACCAACTCTTTGTTAAGTAAACAACCTATGAAACTGATAGTTCAAAAACGTGCCATCAACCAATAAGTCTTGTAGCCATGTGGAGTACAATTAATATTGTGAGTGATTCATGCATCTTCTCACTATGAGAACTTGAATAAAGTTCACTCCTAACATAATGTTCAATGATAGTGAAAGCAAAATGTTGAAAAATATATTAAATGAAGGTTTACAGAAAAGCCATTCATTTTATGTCATGCACTAATGGGTTAATGAGTTTTTGTGGTGACCTGCTTCTGTTTTTGTTTTCTAATCTCCATCATTTTAATTTCCTGATCCCCTTGAGGAAAAAAAATACATTGAAGTTTCACTGTACTGTACTGGTAGAATTGATTTGCCATTGTTGCTGTGCAAGAGTTGCTTTCTCCACTGAACTCCATCTTTCAGTGAGTTCATTCCATTTTCTCTGTATAGGAAATGCTAATGACCAAAAATCTAGTTAAGGTTTGAAGAAGAGTGAAAGTGGGGCTGACATACAAGACGTGAGATGTTAAGTTGAAAGTATTGATTAGGATATTATGATGTTCTTTGCTTAAGCTTTGGAAACATTTAGAATTCAAATTTATAAATATAATTATTTAAAATCTCTAAAGTATAATGTAGTCTTAAAAATAAAAGATTTTAATCTTGGGAGACCGTTTACAGCTTTTGTTTGCTTTGGAGAAGTAATGAAAATTGGAATGCTTTGTAGAGGATTGAAAAAGAAAGTACAGGTTGATTCTTATTTTATACATTTTGATTTAAAAGAGTGAAATGGCAATTGATCTTTCTTATGGCCAACAGCTGCTACTATGCAAATTATTGCTTTAGGACATTGTTTTATACATATTTATGTTCATTGTCTATCTACCTACTTTTTTTCTTGTCATTTGTTGCTTATATTTTCTTTTGAGTTTTTGTTTAGTTCAACATGCTTGCTTAATTATTAATCTTTTGTGTGACACTTATAACTTAACTAGTGATGGAAACAATGCAGAATTAACCCGAAAGTAGGCTAGTCCAATTTAAGGGTTAATTTAAAGACTACTTCAGGATTCAAAAAATGGTCATTTTAAGCAAATATGTTTTAATAAAATGTGTTTTGTATGATAGAAAGTAGTGATAATTTGTTTGCATATAGTAGCATTCTATAAATCAAAAGTCAGGAATGAGAACCTTCGAATCTCAGTGTAGAATATCTTCAATGTTGGGATTTAAAGACTTTTTTTGATGATCCTAGGTCTGCCACTTAAGTTATATATCAGAGTTCCTTCAAAAAATGTTTAAGCTACTAATATATTGCAGTTTTATCGCCAGAGCCAGAATGTCTGAAATTTTTATGAGAGTTTTCCGTTAAGACTTCATATTTAACAATGAGTAATGTGAAATTTAATTATGGAAATTTCACAGTACAATATTATTAAAATGGAGCAAATTAAAGATCTAACTTGAAGATTTTTGTAGTGTGGAAACAAGTCTTTAATTTGGAAAATTTATTGATCTTTCTATGATGCATGATTGCTACAATGCTTTTGACAAGATGTGTATCAATGTGAGATACATTTCAGATGCTAGTTTATTTTAAAATTTGTAAAATCTCAATTTTTTCTGTTGAGAGTAATTTTCTTTAGAATCTCAAAGCAGTGTTTCAGATTGTACCATCAAAGATTTTTAATGTTTTTTCTACAGTTACAAATTCACCACAACAACTTTTCCTAGCTTCGGTGTCAAACTAACATGCTATTCCTCATCTTAAGTTCAAATTTTTTTGTCTCTACTATTTTCATCTTTTATTGTATCATTGTTTCTTTCTTGACTTCTTCCCATACTATGTCATTTTCTGATTTGAATTCCCCTTGTAAGTTTTCCATGTTTGATTTGCCGTATTTGTCTTCTTTCACCAAACCTAAAAATATTTTCTAAGAAACCAGTTTTGGTGTTCTCATGGGCGTGGCCAACCATGAACAATAAATGAACATAAAATGATTAATGAAATAACCATTGACTTGAAATGTTCCCCATTAATAATATGAGACAATATTGAACAATAATAGCAGTGAAGTCTCAGACCCCTGTTCCTCAACAAAACCTCAGCCTCTCAATTTCCATTAATTTTCATGTTGCATTTCACTTCCTACAGTGCTATTCATTTGCTATTCTGTCTGTTCAATTCATTCAAATGTTTCGGTTTGTGATGTGGCACATCATGAGTGGGAACAAAGAAAACTTTGTGATAATTATTAGCAATTATTATAGATCGATGAATTTTATTTTCGACGGTTGTAGCTTATTGTTATGTCTACAGCTAAGTTTCTTGTCGAGAAAAAGGCGGGTTTCTTGACAAAAAACATTATTCTGACTAGGCTCTTCTGTGAATGTAAGATGATTGTGTGTTTTCCTTACGAGGCACTGAGGAAAAAACCTAATCTTATATTTGAGAAAATACATTATTTCTTTGAAAAAAGTTCTGTTGCTTGAATTGGTGACATGTCATTTGAAATATATGGACAGATACACTAACTTACTCTCATTTATCGAACAACAGGCACAGCCCAACATGGGGGAAGCTAGATAGGATGTTGGAACATTACGAGTATTAGTGGCAAAAGTTTCTGTCAAGATGCATATGTGATCACTGAAGAGACAGATTTAATCAGCCCTAATAAGAAATCTGCACTCAAAATTTAACCGCAAGTTTTGAATAGAAAAATCACTGCCACCTTTAAATAGAGGATTTCTGTTGTTACAGGATCACAAAATATTGTAGGGTCTTGTTAATCACATTGCGTAAAAATAAAATATAATGATTGGAACCTGGAAGTTCAGCCACTTATTTCATCTGAAATAGGCAGGCAAAAATTTATTTATTCTGGCGAAGATAGGAACTCAGAAAAGTATATAAAATTTGATAAGTTAGCATTTTAAAAAAATAAATGAAAACAATTTTGTGATAATTTAAATTATTTTAATTTTAACACTGATATTTAGTACATCAACATTTACATGGGAACTTGATCTTCCTTGTTTTCTTATTTGTACATTACCACTAAATATTTCTGTATATTTTCTACAATTAAACTTCATCTGTCCTAAAGAACTTTCTTCACTGCCGAAGATGGCCTTTCAAATACAACAAAGAAATGGGAGCATTAATATATCTTGGGTCAATCAATATCAACTCTGTGTAAACTGCTTAGAACAGCAAATTTTTTGTTTTTCAAATCCCCATTTGCGCTTATAACTCTTGCATTTTTGTGTTACACTTAAACCCTTTTCTCCTGGCTTCTGCATCAAATCCTCTGTTTCTTGAAAGATTTTCATTGCTGTCAGAGCTCTTTTTTTCTTGGTTGCACATAACAATTACTTGAGGTAACTTTCCATAATGTGTAGGATTAAATTCAAATTCTGGTAGAAAATTAAATACATTGCAGATCTTGTCAAGATTATTTACATAACACACAGCTGCGGATATCCAGGTTCCCCGAGTGGTCAAATTAACTAACATTGATGCTTCTTCTCCAAATATACAAGTTCAAGATGGAGATTTCAAGACCACTTTTTTAGAATTCAAAATTAACTTGCTACATTAGACTGCAAAGCTCTTTATTTTTTTTTAGCAATTTGCTGGTGTCTGTGGATTAAACTTGTCACGTGAAGCGTAATTGGAAAGAGTACCTTCAGAGCTGTAACTGCCTTCATCTTTGGGCAGCACCAATCATGAAAAGTAGAACAATTACCTTGGCAAATACCTTCAGGCCACAGAAAAAGTAATTTTGAGCAATTGAGCAATGTTTCACTTTCTCCAATTCTTCAAATGTAAGAAGAAATGTTGAGAACACCTATTTGGTTCCAAAGGGATGGCTATGTAGTGTCCGTGGTTTTAACAATGGAAGTCAAAATATTTTTATCACCAATTCCAGTTTCCAAAAATCAAAAAAATCTTCCAGCTCTAATATTGACAAAAAAAGACACATGATGGGAACT